GCATAGCATAGCATAGCATAGCATAGCATAGCATAGCATAGCATAGCATAGCATAGCATAGAATTAGAAAGGACCTTGGAGGTCTTCTAGTCCAATCCTCTACATTCAGTTCAGACAAATGGTTATCCAACATCTTAAAGGGTTGGAGCATTCACAACTTCTGGAGGCAAACTGTTCCACTGATTAATTGTTCAAACTGTGAGGAAATTTTTCCTTAGTCCTAAGTTGCTTCTCTCCTTGATTAGTTTCCATCCATTGCTGCTTGTCCTGCTCTCAGGTGCTTTGCAGAATAGGTTGACCCCCTCTTCTTTGTGGCAGCCCCTGAGATATTGGAACACTGCTATCATGTCTCCCCTAGTTCTTCTTTTCATTAAACCAGACATATCCAGTTCCTGCAACCGTTCTTCATATGTTTTAGCCTTTAGTCCCCTGCTCTGTTAAGGAATGGGCCTATTGCTCTTCCCTGTGTTGTTAGAAGATATGTCAAAGAGCTCTGGTTTTTCCTATTACCAGAAATTTTCTCAAGACCTTGGGATGGGTCTGATATTTTTATCCAATTTGAAAAAAATGGGAATCAATGGGACTTTTAAAACACACATTCACACAAGAGCCCTAAACTCACAGGTGTTGCGGCTCCCTTGGTATAAATATAAGAGTAGCTAGAAGGAACATCAATTTCATTAAAACAATTGCCATCCTTTCCACATTCAACCTAGGAAGAAAGACACTCCTATCCCCAATTGTCTCTTTATTCCCAATTTTAAAGAAAGTTCAGAGCCAGTGATGTCACTGACATTATTGGAGAAATAGTGATACATCCCCAAATATTAGTACCCACAATCCACAAAAGTCAACATGAAGTATTTTCTGCTCATTGATCACACCATCTTCAGGTGCCTCAGTGCTAAACACTACAGCGGACTTTTGCCTCTTGCAGTCACACTTGCAGGAGAATGCATTTTGACCTACATGAATGAAGAAGTGAGCTTTTAAGACCTGCTAATCTAATGGGACTCTTCTTCCTTTGGCCAGAGCATCATTTTTTGCAAGAAATTCACTCATTCATACCAAAATATATCTCTTACAGGTATATTCTTATACTCTTCTATATAGTCTTCTGTTGGTTTATGCTTGGCACAGTGGTGGGGTTCAAAAAATTTACTACTGGTTCTGTGGGTGTGGCTTGATGGGCATGGCGTGGCTTGGTGGGCATGGCACAGGGAAGGATACTGTCAAATCTCCATTTCCACCTCACCTCACTAACCTGCTTTCCAGCTCCATTCTCCTGTGCAGGGCAACAAAAGAAGACCCAGCCAATCAGCTGGGACTCGGGAGGCAGCGAATAGATGGGGGAAGGGCTAACCAGAAGTGGTATTTACCGGCTCTTCGTACTGCTCAAAATTTCCTCTACCAGTTCTCCAAAACCTGTCAGAACTGGCTGAATACCACCTCTGGCTTGACATCAGAGTGGAATAAATATTTGCTTTGCTATTGCTTTGGAACAAAGACTGTTGTAACTGGTTTTTCCGTTGTTTTATATTCTTCTCCAGATTCTTCTCAAAATTTGTTGTGTTTTTTTTATTTAAGTGTCCAAAAGTGTCTCATTAGCTGGAGAATGCACTTGATTGATTAAAATTCGAGGAGACAAAATTGCATTTGGTTTACTTACAGTCTCTAAATCCAGTTTGTTCCTCAAACAAAGTATGAGAGTGAATATGAATAAATAATACTTCCTGTTTTCATATGCTTTCTGTGACTCTGAAAAGGCACTAATATAGTCAACACTCTAAATTGGGGTAGGATGTATCCCTCAGACATACTCCTTGCATTATCACAATTCTTCCCTCGCCTGATTTGCATGAGGGATTATTTTTTGAATCTAGAAAATAGAATCATAGGGAAGAAAGGTCTCTGAGGCAGAGATGGCATTCAGCAGGTTCTGACCAGTTCTGGAGAACCAGTAGCGGAAATTTTGAGCAGTTCGGAGAACCAGCAAATCCCACCTCTGACTGACCCCGCCCCCATCTATTATCTGCCTCCCGAGTCCCAGCTGATCAGCCGGGTCTTCTTTTGTTGTCCTGCACAGGAGAACAGCGCTGGAAAGCAGGTTAGTGGGGTAGAGAGGGAATGGAGATTTGACAGTAGACTTCCCCTGCCACACCCACCAAGCCATACCCACCAAGCCACACCACGCCCACCAAGCCAAGCTCACAGAACCAGTAGTAAAAAAAACTGGAATACCACCACTGCTCTGAGGTCTTCCAGTCTAACCCCCACTGTTCAAGGCAAGTTACACCATTCCAGTCAAATGGTCATCCAGTCTATTCTTGAAAACCTCCAGTGATAGAGCATTCACAACCCCAAGAGGCAATCTATTCCATTGATAAATTGTTCTCACTGTCAGAAAATGTATCCTTCCTTCTCGGTTGGATCTCTCTTTACCAAGCTTCTACCTATAACTCCTTGGCCTGCCCTCTTCTCTATGTGACTGCCCCTCACGTACTAAAAGACAGTTAACATGTCCCCCCCATCCAATAGTGGTATGCTACTGGTTCGGCCAAACCAGTGGTGGGATTCAAGTTTTTTTACTCCAGGTTCTGTGGGTGTGGCTTGGTGATTGTGGCAGGGGAAGGATACTGTAAAATCTCCAGTCAGAGCCAGTATTTGCCAGTTCTCCGAACTACTCAAAATTTCCGCTACCGGTTCTCCAGAATTGGTCAGGTGCTGAATACCACCTCTGCTGTAAAGAAAGAAGGGCAAAATTTAGTCTTGGGAAGCCAAGACCAAAAGGGGATAACTTAGCATCTTTACAAGCACCTGAAAAAATGTCACACAGAAGAACTTTTCTCTACTAATCCAGGGTAAAGGGCACTAAATGATGGATTTAAGGTAAAAGAGGCTGCTCTTCAGCCAAACGTTAGGGGAAATAAAACTTCAAACAGTGAGAACAATTAAATAGTAGAATCAGTTCATATGAAGATAGTGGACTCCCTCTAAATACAATATCAGTCCTTGACTTGTGAATGTAACTGAGCCTGGATTTATATAAGTTATGACAGCCATTAAGTGGGTCACTAGGTGACTGCACCCAATTTTATAACCTTTTTTTGCAGAGGTCATGAAGCAAATGTGGTGGTCATTAAGCAATTCCATTGCCATGACTTCCCCAGATGCTAGCTCAAAGGAGGATAAGGCAGTCCTGGGCATGTCAGGAGGGGAAGCAGCCAAGGGCAATGAGCCAGGAGAGGAGGGGGCAAGCACAGGGGAGTGACCAGACAAGCAGCCAGCTGAGCTAGAGATGGGAAAGGCACAGGTGCAGGAGGCCGAAAAAATCCAGAAATACCAGAAGTGCTGAAATGGGCCCACTTTCAGGCTCCCAAGGCTGCAGAGGCTTACCTCGAGGCTCCAGGAGGGTGAAAATGGCCTCCCTTGGGCTCCAGAGGCCTTCCAGAGGCTGAAAACAGGCACTTCCGGTATTTCCAGAAAGCCCGTTTTTCGGCCTCCCAAGCCTGCAGAGACTTACCTCGAGCCTCCAGGAGGGTGAAAATGGCCTCCCTTGGGCTCCAGAGGCTGAAAACAGACACTTCCGGTATTTCCAGAAAGCCCGCTTTTTGGCCTCATGAGCCTGCAGAGGCTTACCTTGAGCCTCCGGGAGGGCGAAAGCAGCCTCAAATGGGCCAACAATCAGCTGGGAGGTGCACGCATGCACAGTGCAGGTAAGGAAGCAGGGCAGGGGTATGCATGTGCAGGGGGTGCGGGGTGCATTGCATTGTGGGTGTGCTGGCACACCACAACAAAAAGGTTCACCATGACTGCCCTAGAGCACCATTTTGAGCCACGTGCTCTCAACATTCTTGATGAGCCTCTCTCAAAAGGGGTTTTGTATTTTGACCTAGAATGGTTATTGAAGCTAAGCAGATGTGGACTAAAACACTTTTGATGAGAAAAGATATCAAAATTCCATTTAAGAGCAGATTATATTTACAGTGGGTACTTTGAAGAAGGAAGATGTATGGGCAGCAAAACTCTAATACCCTTTTTGGTCAATCTTAGTAAATTAAGAATTGTGTTATGTAAGTAATGTGCTTTCAGTTTCTATATATAATATATCATTAGAACTGCCAATGTTTTGCACTATTGCCTTGATGACTCCGAAAGTACAGATAAAAGGTGCGTCTACCACCAAAATCACTCCCTGAAATGAAATGTGTACATGGGAAATGTTCTGTGTGCGGTTCCCACATTGGATAGTCATGATGTCTAATGACTATAGAAAGTATAGTCCAACACGTTATGAGGCTAATTCTTAGGAAAGGAGATATTAGCAAATCTTCATAACAGTATCATTTTGAGAAAAACTAAAACAATAATGTTTAGTTTTAACTATAGTTAAAATGACAGATGTGATTGGTGTGGCAGCCTTGAAGTGAAGACACTCACCTCCTATTCGGAAGGTTGAGAGTTCAATCCTAGATGGTGACATTTATTTCACTCCCAGGGGCAAAGAAAAAAAAAATATGCTGTAAACTCCATATGGTGTCGGGAAGGGTACCCGGCCAGTAAATTCTCAGCTCCACCCAGTCACCACAACTCTATCCCAAATTAAGGTATTACAGGGTCATAAAAAGGGAATTGAAATGAGAGGTATCAGTTAACAGTGTGCTTGAAATGAAACATTCAGAGCATTTGTTCATCTCCGAATGCACTATCTTTCCCTTTTTTCAATTATCTTTTTCCATCCCTACAGTGTTCTTATATACCCAAGTGTGGAAAGAACTTTGAAGAGTCTTTGTCCCTTGTGAATGTCGTCATGGAAAACTTCAAGAAGTATCAACACTTTACCTGTTTCTGTGACCCAGAAGGCATTCAAAAGAATGTGTTGCTTACCAAACTTTACAGTTCCAATGTGCTTTTCCACTCACTCTTTTGGCCAACATGTATGATGATAGGTGGACTTGTCATTGTTGCCATGGTCAAGTTGACCCAATACTTGTCTCTTCTTTGTGAAAGGATCCAACGGATCAACAGATAGGAGCAACCACTAGCTTCTAGGATTTGACTTACCGCTGAAATACTGTTGTTTTTTTTTCCATTCTTCACCAAAGAACCTTAAGTTTGTAATGTTTCTGTTCTAAGTTCCTTATATATTTATGAAGTAGAGCAATAACGAAAAAGGCTGTTCCATATGCAACTGTGATGATACTCTTATGCAGACAATGAGAGAGGGAATTATGGTTTGTGTTGGCCATTGTTATGATCTTGATTCATGCTGCAACTTAGCTATTTTTCTTCTTCTCTTCTTCTTCGTCCTCTTTTTCCTTTTTTTCTACAGCCAAAACAGGGCTCAGTGTGACCCTTTGCCAAGCCTTGTTAATGATTGAATCATCATCTCAGCACAAATCTGTTTTGAAAGGTTCTCCAGCCTGGTCACATGTCTTCATGTGGACCATTTAAGTTCCACTTAGGCATTGGGAAGGGGATGAAAAGATTGGAGTGGGAGGGGTGGATGGTAAAAGGTAAGAACTCAATTTGTTTACTGGAACTGAAACTAAGATGGACGATTTGACCCAGAAATTTGTTGCAGGTATAGAATTTTACAAACACAGGGGAAAGCCAAAGATACACATTGCTGAATACCCAGGCCCAAATCCAATGGAGCATAAATAATCTCACTTAAATTCCACTGAAATAGATGAGATGTTTTTGTAATGAATTATTTTATTGGGATACGAGCCCAACTTTGAATTGTGGGAGGATTCAAATTTTTGGTTAAGGCAATAGCATTTATGTTGACTTCATACTCAGGGTTAAGCTTTCCTTTCTGGCATTTGACATACCCACTGAAAGGTTTATTAATTTGCAGTACCTTTTACTCATGGATTATTATCTACCAAAGCTATCACCAAAAAGAGGGGTGGGGGGAATCCAAGGTCTATAAAACTTGTCAACTATTTTTCATTTTCTATTCCAGCCTGAGCCCTGTTGGCAGAGATGGGACCAGATAACCTCTTGCGTTCAAATTTATTATGCATATTTTTCTTGCATTTTCTACCATATCACTGTAAAGAAAAATTTAAAAGAAAGAAAATCACACAGGTTTTTTTTTTCATTTTTTACTTCCAACTGTTTTTTTTTTTTTGAGACATTTCAAAAAAAATACTAGACAACAAGATAAAAATATATTCTATCTAGTGGTGTATTGTAGTATGGCTATGTTATATTTTATTATTTCCTTTATTAACTGGAAAGTGAGCAGTAGTCTTCTTGTATTTCACAGTGTCCAAATCTGGATATAACCATCACAAAGAAAAGATTTGAAGAGATGGCTTAGATGCAATTGTAGAGTGGGCACTGCAGTTTGAATAAGCTTAGGTGGTATTGTATTTAGCTTGGGGGAAAATTCCTCTAGCCTCGAGAGTCCATGAAAAAGGTATGTGCAGTAGGATAATGCTACTCCTGGTAAAGATTATTTCTTCTTAGTCATTTCAGAACAAATTTTCCCCAATAGCATTTTGAAAAAAATATATTTTAAACAAATTTCTATACACTGAAGTGTAACCAAATTAGAATCATGCATAGGCCAGCCTTATATTGTGGAGAAGTTTGTGTTATTCTCCAGCAGATAATACCTATGAGGCAGTCTACTTAGGATGAGAGATTGCATGTGGTCATGTTTTCTTTTCTTTTCAAAGTCCGTATTTTGTTAGTCTGTTTGATGATATGTGTCCCACTTTTCTGCTCTGGCAAGACCTCAAGATGCATTGAGCCCCATAGTTGATTACTATTTAGCTATAGCAAAGAGGTCAAGAAATATTGGACAGCTTGCAGGAAGAATTAATATTCTTGCAGAGAATATTAAAGTAAGTGTAGGAGGAAAGAGAATAAACCTGACCTGAGTAAAACGTGAGTAATATATGAGTAAGAACCATTGCATTAATACTTGGTTGAACAAAAATGTACAGTGGAATGAAGACAGATTAGCGGAGCAGAAGTTATTCTGTGTATAGTGGTACCTTGGTACTCAACTGCTTCAAAATTCATCAAATTTGGTACTCAACGCATTTTGACACAAAAATGTCCTGATACTCGGTGTTTATTTGGTATTCAATGTGATACAAAAGGAAGTAGGGGACAGTCAAAGAAGGTGGACAGGAAGTAGGCCATGCTAGGAAAATCATTGACATAGAAAAAAGGGGACAGATTGAGAGTCCTTCCCAGCTGAAAAAAAGGGTCATGTGGTAAGTCACATGGTTTGTTTGGTACTCATCCTTTCTAGTATTCATCGTGCCTTCTGGAACTAATTAAGGGCGAATACTGAGGTACCACTGTAATTTGAAAATGATAAGGTGAAGAAAAGGTTTATTTTGGATCCAGTAGATCACCATGAGGATTTAAAAGGTTGAGGCTACAAAGAGCACAAATATATTTTTCTATCCATCTCTCCTCTGCCTAATGACCAAAATCACAGTTCACTTAAATTGTATCTATAAGGACAGTCTTAGCAGTTTCTGATATTGAATTCAGCCCCAAGGATGAAATATAAGGTATTTGTTGACCACTCTCTAGCATTCTACAGATTTTTAACAAGCAAAACAACTATTTAAAAAGGTTTTGAAAGCATAATTGTTTCCTTTGTTTTTTCAAAAGGAGAAAGCACACTGAATTTGCCAAGTTCATCCATTAGCTGAGTAATTCTTTATTCCCCGTTATGTAATGTCAACAACTTTTATGGTGTTACAAGATTCCATGAAATGTGCGCGTGTTGTCTGAGCTATAAAAGTCTGCAGCAGTGAAACTAATCTTTGATCTTGTAACCCATAATGCAACATTTTTTCCTCAGGCAAATAAATTCCTGGGTGTGTAATCAGGACTTCAAAACAGTGTGATTTGGTACTCAATTAAACCTTTGCTATTTCAATCCGCTTGGCTCTCAGTAATGGCTTCTTCTCCCCAAAAATATCCTATTTGATCAGATTTGTTTTCAGTTTCTTTAAAATACAAACACACACACACACACACACACACACACACACCCCACAAATTAATCTTCCATCACAGCATATTAACCTGGTTACTGAATTTATTATTCAAGTTTTACATAAATCATTGAACATGAACCAAATGGAATCCGTCCACACAATATAGTGAACCCCAAAATTAGCTAATACTTATGGTGCGAATACACCTGCTAATTCTTCAATTCTGTCTCATTCATATCTAGAAACTCTGATGTGAAAGATTTTTAAACGAGGGACAAATGATTTCCGATCCTCAATAGATAGCCAGCAACTACACTTCCAATTGTTTTTCCACTAAGGATGTATTTACTAAGATAGGTGAAATGGCTCAGCGGTTATAGGCACTGAGCTTGTCAACTGGAAAGCTGATAGCCTGGGTTCAAGACCCAAGCACTGCATGACAGGATGAGTTCCTGTTACTTGCTCCAGCTCAGCAGTTGGTAGCCATCTGATTATCAGGCCCAAGCCCAGAAACAAGACAATGAGCTCCAGTTGAGTTCAATCCTTTATTTGCTTGCACATAATGGACAGAATCTTGCTTGACTAAAGCTATAACTTTCTAAAGTGTTCGATGTATTCTAAGGGGTTCTAGGGTGTGGTTACTTAAATCCCTTCCCACTGTCTCATCCAGTTTGGAACTGTGCATTCTCATAATCACCCTGACTCAGACCATCAAGGACCTGATATGAAGAGGAGGTTCAACATGTTAAATCTTTTTTCTTGGGGGGGTAGTGATGTGATGTGGAGTTCAAGAAGGTTAACATCAGTCTCTTGTCATGATATGTCACTCTTTGATTACTACATGGAGGGAGGACCTGTTTAATTAGAGCACCCAACATCTGATGAACCAGATGGGTTTCAGAAGGAGCTTGGGGTTGTTCCTTTGGTTATGATGTACAGTTTGATTGCTTGACACTTGGAATACAAGAGTACCAGAAAATGAGATTGTACTTAGATAGGACCTCTCCACCTAAGAAGCCCGGAAAGCCCTTTAATTTTCAGTGGAGCTAGATGGTTTAACAGCGGATGTAACTCCTGGAGTGTAATTGCAGGAAAAGAATTGCTTTGTGATAACAACAGCAACAAAACATAATTACTTTTCTACTCTTTTCCTGACTATGTGACTGGCAGCCCTGTTCTAGATGTTATGATTCCTCTTGGGGAGGAGTGAGGCAATATCTGCAGGGCATATAATATCATAAGCACTGGGATATCCTCATGCAAATTATGTAAACATATGATTAAATTTCATAGTTCACATCATTTACTCAATGGCAATTGGAATGTGTAACATAGTAATAGCAATTAGCACTTAGACTTATATACTGCTCCACAGTGCTTTACAGTCCTCTTTAAGTGGTTTACAGCAGGGGTCTCCAACCTTGGCAACTTTAAGCCTGGAAGACTTCAACTCCCAGAATTCCCCAGCCAGCAAAGCTTGGAGACCCTTGGTTTACAGAGTCAGCATATTGCAGCCAAACAATCTGAGTCCTCATGTTACCAATCTCAGAAGGAAAGAAAGCTGAGTCAACCTTGAGCCATTTGGAATTGAACTCCTGGCAGTCAGCAGAATTAGCCTGTAATATTGCATTCTAACCACTGTGCCATCACGGCTCCTAGGGACATCCCTTATCTCCCTTCTCCTATTCCCTCCAAGCATCAGGTTGAGTATCAATATTTTGGATAAGCATTTTGGCTCTAAAAGCTACCCAAAGACCAGAACCTGGGCATGAAATGGTCCTTCACTATCAACCCTAACAGCATGATTGACTTGACTCTTGACGCATGTATCTTTTCTTTTATGTACACTAAGAGCATTTGCACTAAGACAAATTCCTTGTGTGTCTAATCACACTTAGCCAATAAAGAATTCTATTCTATGATCTTTGAAAGAGAAATATGATGGCTCTGGGCATAGAGTTCTTGTGCTTATTAAAATAGAATAGAATAGAATAGAATAGAATAGAATAGAATAGAATAGAATAGAATAGAATAGAATAGAATAGAATAGAAT